AGAAAAAAATGTGGGAAGAGCAGACACATTCCCTGGATGTGGCGGAGTTTTTCCGGGATACCAGAGGTATCCTGGCAAAATTCCGTAGTGTAGCCATAGGCAGAATCACAGGGTTGGAAGAGACCTCAGGAGATCATCGAGTCCAACCCCCTGGTAAAATGATCACACTGAATGTATTTCTCCTTACTATGCCTGATCCAGGCCCCCAAACAGATGCTCCAACAACAGTGGACATTGCCAAGTCCAATGAAGACATTTCGTAGCTCTATTGCTTTGCACAAAAAGGGGATGCACACGAAGGGCTGCGAATCCTGAGGGAAGTCCCAGTAAAGCAAGAGGTTAGGTCCATAAAAGGCTATTAGCCAGGGGATAGAAATGTGTCCCTGGCCTCTGTTCGTCAGAGGCAGGAGACAAATCGCTTGATCATTGTCTTCAGTCCACCCCCTCTGGGGCACCTGGTGCTGGCCACTTTCGGCAGACAGGCTACTGGGCTAGATGGACCTTTGGTCTGACCCAGTACGGCCGTGCTGTGCTGTGTTATGAGGATCCTTCTGCATCCAGAAGCTTAAATTTGTCTGGGCCCGATTCTTGTTTACACTTAGGCCCTCTCTCCACTAGGGATGTGAACAACTAGTCGAGTAGTCGACTATCCAATAAGCAAATGCTTATCGGATAGACAGCACACTAGTCGACTAGTTGTTTCCCCCCGCCTGTCAGAAAGAGGCAGCGGTGGAGGGGTGCTTCCATGCAGTGCTGCCGCTGTGAAACACGCATGCAGCCCGGGGCCAGCTGGGGAGTCCTCAGGCTGCACACAGCATTTCAGTGTGGCAGAATTACATGGAGGCTGGGATCAGCTGGGGACTCCCCCACTGACCCCGGGCTCCATGCGACGCTGCTGCTTTGAAACGCCGTGGAGGCGTACTTATCGACTAATCGAATAGTCGATGCAAATTGCATCGACTATTCGATTAGTCAATTAATCAAAATTTAACATCCCTACTCTCCACCACTCTGGCTATGGAAAGTGATCGAAGTTACATTCATTTTAAAGTGTACACACTTTACACTGCCTTCCTGCAGATGTGGATCAGGCCCTCTGTCCTTAATGGCAATATTAGTGAGAAAACTTAAAAAAACAAACTAACAAAACATGTAGATGGTATCATGAGCTTTTGTGGGTACAGCCCACTTCTTCAGATGGATGAAGTATAAAAGTCCAGTTCCAAAATAAATAGGGAGGGGGAGAAGGAATGGGCAAAAATAATGAATCAGAGTGTTCATGTTACATGAAGCTGATAGAGAAGGTGCTTCGTGCAACACGAACACTCTAATTCACTATTTTTCCCCCTTCTTTCTTCCCACCCCACCCCCCTCCCAGCCATCCCCTATTTATTTTGGAACTGGGCTTTTAATATTCCATCCATCTGAAGAAGTGAAAGCTCATGATGCCATCTACATGTTTTGTTAGTCTTTAAGGTGCTGCAAGACTATTCGCTGTTTAAGTGTTTCCAGTTACAGCCTAACTCAGCTCACCCTCTGAAACTTTGGAATATAAGTGAGGTCACTAGATGTCTCAAAAGAACAGTAATAGAAAACCCTGATGGCTAGATCACTGCTTCAAACACAGCTCCAGTCAGCCGTGACAATGTTATTGCCATCCAAGAGCCATGGCGGGACCAATGTGAAATAATTCCGCATGTCAGCTGTGGTGTCGATCTCACAGAAGAATCACCACGCTTGCTGTTAGCTGACAGACCCCGCTGAGGGGCCAAGGATGAGGTGGGCCACAAAGACTGAGGAACCTCATCCTGACAGGGGCCAGGGCTGAGCCAAGTGGGCAGGGATGGAGCAGGGAGGGGAGTAAGCTCACTTTGCCACAATGCATGTTGTGGCTGTTGTACAGGTAGCCAGACGGCTTGAGTTTCCAGGGCTGTTACCAATATAAAAACATACACTAAATCAAACCCACCCCACAGAAGCTCTCTTACTAAGCCAGCGAAAGAACCCAGTTGCTGCTTAGCCTCCAAGTTACCTCCGGAGCTCCCTCTGGGATGAGAGGAAGCAGCTCATTGAACGCCAGAGTCCCTTTCTTGCCATTGGGTAGAAGAGGGGAGTCTTCAGACGAACTCTCCTCTGCTCTTCCTTGGCCCATCTGGATCACTGTCTCCGTGGTGACACAGAACTGGTCCAGCTTGTGTCTCAGGGCTGACTGAAAAAGACAAGGAGAGCTCTTGGGATCTCCAAAGGCGGGCCGCATGGTCCTTCTGCCTTTCCTCTTGGAGGAGCTGACAAAGCTAATTTATAAGGCGTGCTGCTGCACTGCTATCAACCGTTATCCACATTGGAAAAGAGGGCACGAAATGGATGTAGGCTTGGAAGGATTCCATTTTTATCAGTGAATGTCGGTAAAGTCATTTTTACTGCACTCACACACATACACACACACACACACACACACACACACACACACCCAAGGGGAAGAGGGCCCTGGGGCTCACAACCACCACCACTGCTACTGAAGCAGCAGCGGTGGCCAGAACTCTGGGCTCTTGCATGCTCCTGGCAGCTCTGACAGCTGCTGGGGGCAGCGGCACTGTTCAGATAGTGCTGAGGGCTTTCTGTCCCGGCCTCACTCCTGCCTGAGGCCTCCCCACTTCTAGTAGCACAGAGCCTCCCACCTTGCCCATAGGCCTGGCAAGTCTGTCAGCCCCCCCACGAATACACACATACAAAACACCAATGAAAATATATTTCCAATAATAGAAATTTACTCATAGGCAAAGTGCAAAAAATGCTAGCAGAGAACTACTGTCCAATTCAATGATATTTACTTTCTGTTTGGATATGCAAAGTTGACAATTTATGGTTTAATAGTCATCAAGCTTTAATGTTTTGTGTCTCAGGGCCTACTGTCCTTAAATAATGTATTGTCTGATTTCGGCCTCTATTGTCTGACACCTTGCCCCCATAATTTCCTGCAATTGTGAAAATTTAAATCAATAGACATTGAAAAAGTACTTACAAAATAAACATCAATATTCTCTGTCAAATTTATAAATAAAAAACACACTGAATTCTGCCAAACCTAAAAAAGTGTTAGAGACACTCACACCACTCTGAAACAGGAGCTAGCTGCCTTTCATTGAATGGTGCGTACTATGTTAAACAATTCTACCACAGAATGTAACCTGCATGCAGAAGAAACTAGATCTGTGTTTTATACAGCATCCAGCATAGTGCCAGGACTACACATAAACCTCTTACATACATGGGTGAGCAGTGGCTCACAAGAAAAACCCACTCATTTCAATGGTGTTACTTGTGTAGTGCCAACAGACCATGGTCGTTGGCTGGTGGGATTGAACCTGGAACCTTAGGGTTAAAGCAGTGAGGGACAACTTAGGCTAGTGAGTGGGCTGTATGAGTAGCCCTCCAGCTCCATGGGCTGCAAGACTGTTGTAACCAAGACCAAACTAGGGGAGTTTTGTCACCTGTGCTTGCATACCTAGAACTTGCAGGGTATTCCAATGGAATTGCAGCAGCACTGTGATTGGATGCAGAGGGAGCACGTGGTTCTCACAGTCAATGCTGTAGGCAATCAGCCTTTACCTCACTTCCCATGTCCTTTATTTATGTGCATGTCACTTTAGTAACATCGGTAGGGAAAAAAACTATGCCGACAAAAACCAGCAGAATCTGGCAACCTTGCCAGGGGAAATGGTAAGCAAAATGTCTCATGGGTCACACACTAAGCTAATACTAAAAAATAAGAACTAGGGGTCACCAAATGAAATTGATAGGCAGCAGGTTTAAAACAAACACAAGGAAGTATTTCTTCACTCAGCACACAACCTGTGGAACCCCTTGCCAGAGGATGTTGTGAAGACTAAGACTTTAACAGGGTTCAAAAAAGAGCTAGATAAATTTATGGAGGTTAGGTCCATCAATGGCTATTAGCCAGGATGGGCAGGGATGGTGTCCTTAGCTTCTGTTTATCTGGAAATGGGTGATAGGAGAGGGATCACGTGATGATTACCTGTTGTGTTCACTCCCTCTGGGGCATCTAGCATTGGCCACTGTTGGCACACAGGATACTGGGCTACACCATTGGCTGGTGAACCATGTTTCTGTCTTGTGTTACTAGTGTGGGGTAAGGCCATCAGGGTATACTTCAGAACCTGGCCTATGCATTATACCCATCATTTTTTCCAAATCCTACAGGTTGTTTGTAACACAGTCAGCTCGGATCCCTCCAAGCATTGTTTACCTGGTCGTTGCTCTTCAGTTCTGTAATACAGTCTGCTAAGGATTGAAAACACTTCTCCAGGTTGAAGTGGACAAAGCCAAGCTGGGAGTGGAGGGAATGTTAAGGAAGGAGCGTTTTACAAGACAGACACCCGTACAATTCCTTAATGCTACATCTTGTGTGCTAGCAGCATATCTACCTGTAGCTCTTGCCTGCCAGTCTGAGGGCTTCAGACACAGCTCCCCCAGGCATAGATTGGGACTGCCTATCTGCTTGGGCGGGAGGGTCACACCTAGGAACGAGACTGGCATGCCAGGGTGACCAACCTCTGGCCCCGAAGAACCTGAGATGGGCTGTTCTCTGTGAAGCTCAGTCTGAGGGGTGAAGTAACCAGAGAGGGAGAGACACATGGGAAGGAGGTTGGCTGTGGCTTTCCAGAGCTGCAGGAGAGGCAGCTATTGTGACTGACCCAGTGAGATGGCCACAGGCCAAATCACAGACCCTCTCCATAGTAGTGAGTATAAGCCCTAGGAAGCTGCATCCGGGGAGGGTGTGTGGAAAAAAAAAAAAACAGTGGTGCCCATAAGCTCCCCCCTCCCCCCCCGCAACAGGAGCCAGAGTTCGGCCAGCTCTCAGTACTGCCCAGGATGCCATGCAGCTGGACATGAGAGGGATACCAGCTCCAGCCCCACTGCCCAGGTTAGGCCTGCGAGGAGACTATAGTGGTGTATTTCTTGTTTGTGGGGTTTAGTTGTTGTTCTGGGAGTAGCTGGGGCCTTATTTATGTATGTATTTATTTTCCCTGAAATCATTGTGGGCCTTGATTTATGACCAAGTAACCTAGAAGTTGTTGGTTTTGTGCTCCAAGTCACCAGCACCTCTTCCAAGTGCTTGTGCAATAATCCACAAAAGGTGGAAGGAGTAGGGAACAAGGGAAGGAGACTTGCTTACATTTGGACCTCTGGGCCTCCATTTTTAAAATAACCTAAATGATGTAGTGGCCCTCCATTCAGGGAAGCCTTGATTTATGACCAAGTAACCTAGAAGTTGTTGGTTTTGTGCTCCAAGTCACCAGCACCTCTTCCAAGTGCTTGTGCAATAATCCACAAAAGGTGGAAGGAGTAGGGAACAAGGGAAGGAGACTTGCTTACATTTGGACCTCTGGGCCTCCATTTTTAAAATAACCTAAATGATGTAGTGGCCCTCCATTCAGGGAAGGGGCTAAATTGGAACATCTTAAAGATACCCCATTTTTAGAAAATGCTGAGCATTCACCCTCTTAATATCAGGCCCCTTAAAAGTGTCTAAGGTTGGGCACACCGAGTCAGGAGGGACTTGTGTATAGTGTGTGCTATGTATCCGAACGAGTTTGTCTTCACAACCCAGAATGCTAGCTCATATTCCTTTAGATATGTACACACTTGAGTGCCCTGTTAGCAAACAACAAATAATAATGAAGAATTATCATCAGCATCATCAAATGTTAGCCCGCTCTTGGGAAGACAAGCCTACACAAAGGCATGGTCTCTACTAGACCAGGCAGGTCATCTTAAGGTACACCATCTGACTACACAAAATATGTAGCTGGAATTAGCTTACCTTAAGCCAAGCCACCATGGCATCTGCACAGCAGGAGGCCAATAGGAACACATGTTCCTGTCAACTTCCCTTACTCTTCACAGAATGAGGAGTACCAGCTGCCAGTGGGGGCTACCTTCAGCGTTCGATGAACACGTCTACATTAGACCCACTAGAAGATCGATCTCTGGAGGGTTGAGTGTACACATGCCGTGTACACTCTAGTGTACACATGCCGAAAGAGACTAATCCAAACCCCACTGAACTCAGTGGGCATCATTATTTTCTGTGAATCAGGCCCCCGATAAGGGGGGGGGAAACCTCCTCTGGAGAGCCTCTTGGATGATAAATCCCTCCAAAATCTATAGGCACCAGAGATAAGAGGAAACTGTCTCACCCGGAAAGGATACCTGTAGAATATTCTGGTGCCTGTCCATGACATCTGTGACCCCCAGAAGTACGTTGTGTTTCATGAAGACTTCATTGGCCGCTGCCAATCTCACATCAGTATTCACATGTATCTGTTAAATAACAGGGAAGATGTTAGCCTGTCCCACGGTGACTTGCCAGGCCAGCCTGCAACCATGAATTGACTCTGATGGTTCCAAAGTCCTAAGTCCCTGAAAACAAAATAAGGAGAGAAACTATCCATTTCAGGAAGTCTTTTCAGAAACTCCCAGCTCTGGCCATTGAAGCAGGTTTACGTACCAACCCAGCTCTATTCAGCCAGGCTGTGTCTACACTGGCAAGTTATTCCGGAAAATCAGCCGCTTTTCCGGAAAAACTTGCCAGCTGTCTACACTGGCCGCTTGAATTTCCAGAAAAGCACTGACAATCTAATGTAAAATCATCAGTGCTTTTCCGGAAAAACTATGCTGCTCCCGTTCGGGCAAAAGTCTTTTTCCGTAAAACTGTTCCAGAAAAGGGCCAGTATAGACTCATAGACTTTTAAGGTCAGAAGTGACCATTATGATCATCTAGTCTGACCCCCCGCACAGTGCAGGCCACAGAATCTTACCCACCCCTCCTAGAATAATCCTCTCACCTATATCTCAGATATTGAAGCCTTCAAATACTTTGAAGGCCCCAACATGCAGAGAGTCCTCCAGCTGTGTGTAGACAGCACAATAGTGTTTTCCGCAAAAAAGCCCCGATCGCAAAAATGACGATCGGGGCTTTTTTGCGGAAAAGCGCGTCTAGATTTGCCACGGACGCTTTTCCGGAAAAAGTGCTTTTCTGGAAAAGCGTCCTGCCAATCTAGATGCGCTTTTTCGAAAATGCTTTTAACGGAAAACTTTTCCGTTAAAAGCATTTCCGGAAAATCATGCCAGTGTAGACGTAGCCTGGGAGTTTTCACCACCAGACATGAGATAATCCCAGAAGATTGAGGGGGAAATGACTTGTAAGACTATCGGACCTATTCTTTTCCCCACCTGTCAGTTCAGGATAATCTGAGACAGGCCTGTATATCTTCCAGTCTACATTCAATACCTCCAACAAGGGAACTTCCACTACTTTCTTTGGAGGATTAAATCTATAGCTCTCATCATTAGACACTTGGCTCAGAGTCCATGGTAGTCAACAGAATGACTTTCGTTGACTTTAACAGACCGTGGATCAAGCCCCAGGACTTCTATTTTTTTTTTCCCGATAGGCAGTTTGTCTTTATCTTTGTGCTCCATTGCTTCTCCTAATATTCCCATTCTAAAATATTTTGCCCCTTCTTGACTATTGCGTTCTTGAAACGCGTCTAGACAACCACCTTGTTATCTGTTTTCTGGGGAAAAAATACATTGTTATGGAAGTGAACACATGAATAACTTCTGCTCACCTTCTTTTGATGTTGGTCAATAACCAGGATAACAATTATTGTGAGTGCCATCGCCGCCAACGTCACCAAAATGCTGACTTCCCAGTGTAATCCAAAGGAATACAGCTGCATGGTGGAGTAAATATTTGCCCAGATGGAGATGTAGAAAATCTATAAAGATCCAGAGAGACTCAGAAAACAAAACTCACAAAAACAACAAAAGCAGAAGAAAGGTCAAGAGAGCAGGAAAGTTCCCGTCTCATAAATTAGTTAAACCCCCAGGGATTTTATGAGGGTAAATGGACAAAAGATGCCTCTAAGAAGAATGAGAGGGAGTGGGGAAGAGGTGTAGACTGAAAGTCGGGCTTGAATGAGTTCCTGCGTTATATCCAAGAAGAACTGATCATCAAAGTCAACAAATGAATTCTTGATGGCGTTTCATACTCAAGATTTCAGTCGAGTTCCTCCATTTCAGTAAGGCATGCATTCGCCCAGACGGATGGATAATACTTATTATAGTCACTGTATTTATATCAGGTTACCACAACAAAGCACAAAGAGTACCACCAAGACAATAAAATAAAATAACGCACCAATGCGTGACATTTGCCTCCAGAGGCAATTCTAGAGACTAAGGAGGGAAGAAGAGAGTCATTCATTTGACTGTACTTTGGAGCAGCATCTTATGATGGGATTTGGATATGCAGCTATATTAGGGTGCATCTACACTGCAGGGCTTAACTCAAAATAAACTACGCAAATTGAGCTACGTCAATTGCGAATCTTATTTCGAAATAGGGAGCGTCTACACAGCACTTATTTCGAAATCGAGCACTCTTCCTCTGACTTCCCTTACTCCTCATACAGTCGGAGTAAGAAGTCCTTCAGCTTGACGACAGTATTTTGACACCATTTCGAAATAACTGCCTACTGTGTAGACGTGGACTAAGTTATTTCGGAATAGCACTAGTTATTTCGAAATAGTGTTTCAGTGTAGACATACCTTAGAGAATACAGCTTGGTACAATGTTATCTGGGAAGGATGGAGGGAACCAAATAGAAAACAATACAAATCCAAACATGAAAATCCCCTTCATGAAAATAAGGGGACTTGTTACATAAAGGCTGATATCTTTAATTAATTAATGGAGATTGCCTATCTCCTAGAACTGGAAGGGACTTGAAAGGTCATGGAGTCCAGTCCCCTGCCTTTAGAGCAGGAACAAGTACCATCCCTGACATATTTTTGCCCCAAATCCCTAAATGGCCTCCACAAGGATTGAACTCACAACGCTGGGTTCCGCAGGCCAGCGCTCAAACCACTGAGCTATCCATCCCCTCAGAGAAAAAGATCCGTGCACTCTTATTTACACAAGGGCCACTTCACCCCACTCCATGCATAGAAAGCGGGTGCAAATATAATGTAGTCCCATCTTAAGACTCCTTGGCCATGCCTGAGAAGCGTGAAGGAGAATGAGACCTGGAGTGTTTTCAGAGCTGGGAAGGAGGGGTAGATGCTTTCAGGTCCTGGAGTTCCACCTCTGTTAAAGCCAGCCCAGAAAAAACTGTGCTAACTGACAGCCTGTGGTAGTACTCCTAAAAAGTGGGCAGTGCACACCTACATCATTGTACAGCAATCTCCACAGGATGGGATTTCCAAAGGGGCCTAAGGGAGTTAGGTGCTCAACTCCCATTGAAAGTCATTAGAGGCTGGACATTTCCCCAGTTGCACCTAGGAAATGGCACCTAACTCCTTTGGGCTCCTGCGAACATCACAGGGGCAGTTTTCCGTTGCTCATCAGAACTAGCACGTACCACAGCAATGGCTATCCCGAACGCTCTGGAGTTGTAGAACATGTATCTTCTCACTTCGGGGTCCAGAATGGCATTTTGAATTAAACTCTTCCACTGATCCACTGGCATCTGTGCAGGAACCAAGAACAAACCAGCCCACTCACTTTTTCATGCAAAACAATGCAGCAAAAAGCTGAACGGCAGCAGTCAAGAGCCAGACCAGCACTTCACAACTCCTAGCTTATGAGACTTGAGACGCGACAGGATCCACCTGTGTCCCAGACTCTGCCTCCAAACAGAGGGAATTGGCCCACATTTTGATCTGAATTAACCTGGTGTAACAGATTAAAAAAAAAAGAGGCTTGAAAATGGATTTGTGCCTCAGTTTCCCCATTTGCAACTAATACCACCAACCTTTGTAGAGTGCTTGGAGATCCTCAGTGGAAAGGATGCTATGTCAACCAGCAGAACTGTATTGATTTCAGAAATTTAACTGACAGAATTCTAAGCCAGTTTCATGAAACCAGGCTACAAGGCTGCATGGACATTCGTATACTGCTTTAAACCAAACATACCTGGGTTGAACTGAAGGCAGTACGGAGCAGGTTTAAGCTAAAGTGAAGGAAGCCACTCTGAAACTGAAGTAAAACTGTCCCCACAAGGCTTAGCACCCATTTAACTAAGGTGCGTGTGCAAACAAGACTAAGAGTTCAGTAAGATGAGTCATTGCCCTGGAAGCAATTGAAACTCTTTGCAAGCAGATTCACTGTCCTGCATTGTCTCAAGGGATTAGGAGTCAGAGCTGTGTCAGATCCCATTGCGTGAATTCATGTCAGATCAAGATCATATTTAAGGGTTCATGGGAGTTCACCCCTCTTCCCCAGTCCAATTCCATGCAGAAGAAGCAATGCTTCCTGGGATTGTGCAATTCCTGGCTCGGAGCTCAGAAGATACCTCCCCTCTGCTCCATCCCTTGCCGTCTTCAGCCCAAGGAAAGGTTTGTCTAACTCAGGGCTACTCAACATGCAACCTGCAGCCCATTTGTTTGCAGTCCGCAGGTGGGATCCTTTGAACTGGCCTCCACTGGGAACACGTTCCACAATGGCGATTCAATAGAGCGGTCTTCTGTTGAGATGTGATTTAGTCGTTACATTCCTGAACTGTCATTGCTCATTAAAAGTGCTGTCAAATGGGGGGAAATTGGGTAAATATTACATTTTAATAATATCAGCAGAACTGACTGAAATGGGGCCTGTGTGTTGTGTAGTCTTGCCTTAATCTTTGCATTCATGCCCATTGGCGTGAAAGACGCTATTTGCATCTATATTTGCATGTACATGCAACCACACTTAAGTTGTGGCCCTCGGCAAGCACTGTGAGTATCATCGTGGCCCCCGGGGCTTCCCAAGTTGAGTGCCCTGGTCTAACTGGTCGGTGATCACTGGGGAGCAGGTGACTTCCATTGGTCTCTCCACTAATAACAAGCCCGATCTTGGGAATTTGACCCTTGACTTTGGTGGGTGCAAGATCAGATCTTTTAGTGCCCAGATCAGGTCGTTCAGCGAAACAGACTAGAGAATAAAAGGGTTGAAAGGGCCCTCAAGGGGGCATCTAGACTAGTCCCTTGCACTCATGGCAAGACTACGTTTCATCTAGAGCAGGGGCAGGGAACCTTTCTTGGGTCTGAGGCCATTGACCCACAAAGAAATCAGTTGGGAGCCACTCACAAATGAGAAGAAAAAAAAAAAACTCACACATGGGGAAAAAAATGACACACCTCACTCATGCAACTCAGGCCACCAGGTGACCCCTCAGGCTCCAGACACCTGGGGACGGGGACTGAGGCACACACACACACACACACACACACACACACACACACACACACAGATTAACTCTTCTGGGAGCCCCAGAGGATAGTAGATGTTGAGGGATCTTCTAGGCTCTGCAGTGGAGCCAAAAATGAGGGGTTCAGTGTGCAGGCGGGGGCTGCACCTCATCTACCACTTCCCCCCACAAGACTTGTTACCTTGTCAAAGAAAGCCATCACATTGGTGTCACGTGATTTGTTCTTGACCAATCCACGCTGCTACTGATCACCTCATTATCTTATAGGTGCCTGCAGGGCTTCAGACCTTGTTTACCTGAGCCAGTTGAGACTCACGCCAGTTCAAGTGACTCAACTCCCCATGTGGACACGCCCTGAGCTACACAGAGCACTTGTCACCAGAGAATCTCAAAGCACTGTCATTGCACTTGGTAATACCACTCTCGCAGACTCAGCTCCAGGGGCAGAAATGTACACCCAGCCAACCCCATGGAAGGTGACAGGTTGTGATGCTTGGGCCAACATGACTTCAGGGCCACAAGACCAGTGTCCCAAAGGTGATGGGGGAACGCACAATTAGAAGACTGGAGGGTGGGCTGCCACAGCTTGCTGCCCTTGGCGATGGAGCAGTCACATGGCCGAATAACTTCAGGCACACAAAAGCAGCCTGAAGTCAGTAGGAACGCACAGGCGTAAATGAAAGCCCTCTTCCTATAGGCCGTCTATACTTCTGAATGACAGCTATGAACCAGGGGAAGTGGAGAGACCAGGAGCTGCTGACCCACAGTAAAATCAGTCGGGGGCTGCACACGAGTGAGAAGCAAAGAAAAAACCAACTTCCCCATTGACAGGACCCCTGACTGAGAAGGAGAAAGTTTCAGAGGGGTGTCCATGCTAGTCTGTAATTGGAAAAACTTAAAAAACAACAAATAGTCTTGCAGCACCTTAGAGACTAACAAAAAATGGAGATGATATCGTGAGCTTCTTGGGCACAACTCACTTCTTCAGATGAATGGAGTTTAAGGGGTCAGTCCAGTTTTCAAATAAAAAGCACGAGGGGGGGAGGAAAAAAAATGGAGAAAGAAATTGCCAGTTAGATTGTCCATGCTAAGTGAAGCTGATAAGAGTACTTCGTACTCACTTTAAGTACCCTTGGTTCGTTTTTTTGTGTCATCCTGCCGACGTCTTTGTTTAGACTTCTGTTGTCACAATCAAACTTGTAAATGGAATTAAGTTCTGCAGTATCCCTGTCGAGCTGGCATTTGAAATTGGTTTGAAGTAATATGGTGGCTTTGAGATCCCTTAGACATTCCCCCCACACACCAGAGCCTGGGGAAGCTGGGCTAGTAGATTTTGTGTGCTCCAGCCCCACAGGGTGGCAGTGGCCACCATGGGCTCCCCAATACTGAGCAGGAAGAGCCCTGAGTCTCGGGGGGCCAGATCCAGGCAAGCCAGGCCTGAGATTCCCCACCCCTTGTTACACGGGCAAGTAACACAGGCATAATCTACCCCTCACCCCTGCTAGCCACCAGGGTAGCCAGGTCCCCAGGGAAGCACTCACCTGAATTCCAAAGGTCTTCAGTTTCTCTGCACAAAGCTCCATGTCAAAGGAGGTGGAAGAGCAGGTATTGTTAGCAGTGAGAACCAGAAGCACTTGGCCATTGTGAGGCTCTGCAAAAAGAACCAGGGGAGAAGGCTGGGTGTGACCACACGGGACAGGTCAGGGAGGAGGGGGTGTTTTCCTCAGGAGCTTGCAAAGAGAGAAAGCGCCAGACAACCAACTGCACTGAGAAGCTATCAGTGGGTGACGGCCTCTGAATTGTTCCTCAGCCATTTTTCATCAAGTCGCATTGAAAGAGCTGCACCTCACTCCAGCTATAATGCAGGGACCAAGGGCTGGAAGGTGAAGCAACCAAATCCTACCGAGGTGCAAAGAGGAAGCAATCTGACTGGGAAGGGGTCATGTGTCAGTCCAACGGCCCATGCACAAGAAGGTGACGGGGTCCGCCCACGCGCAGTAGCTGCCAAGACCTGTGATAAATGGCTGTAAGGGCCTAACTCCCATTAGTGTATCAAGGTGTCTAAATACCTTTAGGACACTGGGCTTAAATTGAAAGTGGCTCCAAATCTGCTCCCTCAGTCCTGGGACTGCTCTGAGTTGTGCTGACAGCAGTACTCATCAGAGCATAAGAACGGCCAGACTGGGTCAGACCAAAGGTCCATCTAGCCCAGCGTCCTGTCTGCCGACAGTGGCCAATGCCCGGTGTCCCAGCGGGAATGAACAGAACAGGGAATCATCAAGCAATTCCACCCATCACCCATTCCCAGCTTCTGATAAACTGAGGCTAGGGACACCATTCCTACCTATCCTAATAGCCACTGATAGACCTAACCTCCATGAATCTATCTAGCTCTTTTTTGAACCCTGTTAAAGTCCTGGTGTTCACAACTTCCTCTGGCAAGGAGTTCCACAGGTTGACTGTGTTGCACGAAGAAGTGCTTCCTTTTGTTTGTTTTAAACCTGCTGCCTATTAATTTTGTTTAATGAGCACCTAGTTCATATGTGATGGGAACAAGAAAATAACTTTTCCTTATTCACTTTCTCCACACCAGTCATGATTTTATAGACCCCCATCATATCGCCCCTTAACCTCCTCTTTTCTCAGATGAAGTCTGTTTAATCTCTCTTCATATGGGACCTGTTCCAAACCCCTCATCATTTTTGTTGCCCTTTTCTGAACTTTTTGCAGTGCCAGTATCTCTCTTTTGAGATGAGGTGACCAAATCTGCACGCAGGATTCAAGATGTGGGCGTACCATGGATTTATACAGAGGCAATAAGATATTCTCCATCTTAGTCTCTTTTTAAATGATTCCTAACATTCTGTTTATTCTATTTCATAGAGCTGGAAGGAACCTTGAGAGGTCATCAAGTCCAGTCCCCTGCCCTCTTGGCAGGACCAAGTACCATCCCTGATAGATTTGCACCAGAGCCCTAAATGGCCCCCTCAAGAATTGAACTCACAACCCTGGGTTTAGCAGGCCAATGCTCAAATCACTGAGCTATCCTTCCCCTATGCTAAGAACTAGCCACAGTGACTCCAAGATCTCTCACAGCCCTTGCTGCCTTGACTCAGAGCCCTGCAGTGTCTGCCCCACCTCCTCCCACCCAGAGCCCGCCTCGCCGCACCCGCTGCACCAGCTCTTCCCTACTTCATGATTCCCGTGTTGCGTAAGACGGAAGCCGAATTCCTTCCCCCAAGGTGTGGCCCATCCCGATTAAAAGCCAAGTAAGCACATCTCAAGACCGGTGGGGAATGTGAATGAAACAATGTTCTAAACATGTGTGCTGCGATGAACGTCATCAGAAGGTGAGTCGTGGAGTCTAGCAGATGGGTCTGGAGCCACAGTGGAAAATCTGGGTTCTTCTCCCAGTCCTGCTGCTAACTCACTTTGTGACATTAGGCGAGTTACTTAGGTCAAAGTCCAATCATTTGGGATGCCCAGCGTTAGCTCTGATTTTCAGAGATGCCGGGCATCCTGCAATGGGAGCAGTGACTGCTCAGAAATTCTGCAAGCAGGCACTAACCACTAGGCATCTCAAGAAGGGTATAGCAAAAACAAAGGCGCTCAGAATGAATGGACCCTGCTGTGAATGGGCTAATATCCAGGTAAGCCAAACACTGGCAGCTCCCATTGACTTCTTTCAAGGTCCCTTGGAAACCTTGGGCCCTGCTCCTGCAGCTGGATCGGCCCAATCTGACCACACAGTGATCTACGCATGAAATAGGGGAATCCAGGCGTTAATTACTATTGCGGCAGCATGTGGACACGGAACGTCAGTCCGTTCCTAAAGGAGTGTCGCAGTAAGCAATACAAACAGAGCACGGCTTTGGCTTTGCCAGTCCCATTACAAATCCAGGCAAATATTTTCAAAAGTGATCCATGATTTTAGGTGGCCAAATTGAAATGCTTTCAAGGGGTCTAAAATTTTCAGCAGACCTGAAAATCCATCCTCTTTCAAGTTGCCACCTCAGGCTCCCCAAACTCAGGGCACCCCAAATTACTGGTCACTTTATTTAACTCTTGGCCAGGATGCGTGTACTTTGTCTAATTATTATAATGGTTACATTCCTTCTATTGAAAATGATCAGAAAACCATTTTCTTAGTTTAATGCCATTTGTTTCAGCATGTGTCTGTTGCAATCAATAACTGGAGCTGTTTGCTTACCTTTCCCCCAGTGAAGGTCGCTTGCTTGGGTCCCATAGTAGAAGAGGGAGGCAGAGGTGGGATCTTGTTTCTCAGTTCCAGCTGGTTGGCTTTCACAGGCCATGGTGAAAAAGTAGGTTTAGTGCGGGCCCCTCTCTCACGCCGTCATGAATCCAACACTGCATTCATGATTCTGCTTCTTTTTCTGCATAGAAACACCCGGGGAACATCTAAGTTAGCCTGGCATAAGACTGCACTGTGGCTGGGATGCTTTTTCACACGGAAGGAAAGTCCCAGGGATCGGCATGCGATGTAATACATGACTTGACTTGAGCAAGTGTGTCACAATCCTGCCTGCAAGGAGGAACAGAAATGACCCACCTTGCACAAAAAGACCATCCAGCACCACTGCATCCAAACTCTTGGGTGCACTGTGGACTCTGCTCCTGATGGACTTTGCCTGAATGATGAATGGAGCATTTTGGGGTCAGCTCCAGAGTCCTCATGGCTAACGTGTGCCCATATCAACCCTGCCTGTGTGTAGGTGGCGGCAGGATTAGTGCCACAAGGCCACACCTCAGGCCATGAGGCAACAGCTCCTGGGAAAGACCATCCTTTCATTGAACACGATCGGGCACATTTTGGAGGCAATTAATCCACAAATGGGCTTGTCCTGAACCTCTGGAGGCCAGTGGGAGCGTTGCCATTTTCATCCCTCAGAGGACCATCGGGACCAGGGAGAATTCACATTATTGGTGCTTTGAAGCAGCCAAGATATTGAACTGTAAATATTGGGCACTGCAATGGACTACAGGCCGGACCTCCCTGGTCCACCACCCTAGGGGCCTGAGTGGTTCCGAACCAGAGAATTTACTGGACCAGAGGAGGTCCCCTGCCACTGGCCCCCCCTTACCGCCAGTTCAGGCCGGGCTACCCTCCCAGGTGCCACCACCCTGCCGCAGGCTCCAGTCCTGGCCTTGCACTGCTGGGGGATGCCAGGAGCTCTGTCCCTGGCCTGTGCTATCACGGGCTGCTGGGAGTTGCCAGGAGTTCTGGCCCCAATCTCGGCCCCATGCTGCTGTGGGCTCTAGCTCCGCACTGCCATGGGGCTCCGGCCCTGGACTTTGGCTGGGCTGCCAGCCCTGCTGCCATTAGGCTTCTGGGCTCTCTGGTCCAGAAGCATCCATGGTCTGGCGGGACCACAGATGTTATCGGACCAGAAAGTGCTGGTTTTCAGAGGCCCAACTTGTACTGCATGAGAAAGAGAAAACCACTTCAGATAAGAAATGATGAGGATACCGTGATGGGAACATCACAAACGCACAGAGAAAGAGAAAGTAGAATTTCCACCCAGCACCACTAAGGAACTGTTTTGCTAGGCCAGAAACATGGGGGTACCCCTTTTTTCTCCCCATTTTCACCTTCGCCTGGGCATTTCAGTTCTTAGTTCCAGAAATGGAAATAGCCCAGCCCTGTGAGAGAATCTGTGTGTATCAGGAATGATAACTTCCTGCAATATCCCAGACAAACCTTTTTGGATTAAGTGTAAGATTTTAGGAGTACAGTACAACCTCAGAGATCCAAACACCGAGATCTGGATTGACTGGGTAATCATTTGGGACCAGTAGTGTGCAATCAGGCAGAAGCAGAGACTGACCCCCCCCACACACACACACACACACACACACTCTCCTGTGTTAAATGTAAACTACTAAAAATTAATAAAGGGAAAGCAACATTTTTTCTTGTGCATCCTAAAGCTTCACAGCTGTATAAAGTCAATGTTCAGCTGTAACTTTCTGAACCACCACAATATTTTGTTTGGCATTAGGGAACATTTCAGAGCAAGAACAACGCCCCTTCCTGAGATGTTGTTAACACTGAGGTGCTACTGGATTGAATGTCTATGTATTACTGTGAGAGGCAGAGGTCTGTACGTGACCGGTGTAAACCCTGGGAAGTATGATGAGCTTCAAAGGACTCATTTAAACAATGTACTAGACACAAATGGATTTTCAGTTGAGCGGGTTTCCTAAGAAATTCTAAGGGGGAAGGGAAAGGCAAATTCCCATCTCGAGACCCAACCTCCTGACGCTAGGCCCTGAGGAGCAACCCCGTCTGCTGCTTACCTGTGCCCAACGTCCCAAGGCCAAAGGTTCAAATGGTATAAAGGTGGGACTCTCAGTGGTGCCTGTTTTCAGCTAATGCTGCTAGGAACCTGTAACCACAGCAAACCCGTGAACGGACTGAAGGAGTGCCCCAGCCCCACAGTCCTTCCTGGTAGGGTGACGGGTGAGTTTTCTGGTAATCTTATTAGCATGTGTGTAGGCTCTTTTCTTGGCTTACTGTGTTTTTTCTGAAATGCGTTTGCCTTGTGAATAAAGGTGCTTGCTTAGAAAAAGGTGTGAAGTACCTTATAATTATGAGCAATTATGCTGCTTGTAGTCTCTGAGGAGAAAGCGAGCAGGCCAGCTTAGGCAGTCTGACTTGCTGGGGAACTCACAGTGTAGGCGAGGAACTGTTCAGCCCACTTAGAATGGAGTAAGACGGGGTCTCCGCCCAAGAGAGCTGATGACTCGGAGCTAGACGCTGGAAAGTAGGCACCCTGGCTGGATACAGGTTCAGTTGCCATAGACTTATCCAATATGAGCATATGAATGTTCTGAAGCTTGTTATTAGCTTGTAATTCATCAGTCACTGCCCTGGGAGCATGGGGATCACCTGCATCTCTAGTAAAACCTGGACCATGCTCCACAATTCTACCCTTTTCTCCTGTCTTACCTTTGTTCTCAAGTGTCTGTGTTGCAGCTGCCGGGCTCCCTCAGAAAGCCTGTCAGTGCTGTGCCACAGACACCGCACTTCCGTGGGCAGCCCCCGGTGTCACCCCAGTTTAATCCAGTCACCTCAATGCAGGACAGTCATCACCAGCCAAAGTGCAATCAAACAGGAAACCGACGCAACAGAAACTACATTCAACGATCAGCATGATTGCAACAGGCGCCCACAAAGGGCAGGAAACGCAGTTAAAGGAGCAACGCTCCGATCCTTTCAACAGCAGTGGAGGGGTGTCTGAACTGAACCCAGCAATAGGGTGTTTTTCAGACTGCGTTCTTAGGAGAGTGCGTATTCCTGCAACCCCTAGAAAGCAAGTGAGCTGCTGGGGCAAAGAAAACCACGAAATGTCTCCATTGTGACAGCAGCTGTCTTCACACAGACATGCACGCACACGCACCAAGCCCTTCACCAAACCACATCACCCTGGCGCGCGCCCAAAGGAGGGACGGTTTTGGTCTCAAACAATAAACCCTCACTCCAGCCTATTTCCCTTGGTGATTGAGGGTGAAAACCTCTTCTCTCCAGGCAAAAAGGCAGGTGGTGAATATCACTGCCCCGTGCCCTGGCCCTCAAATCCTGCCCTTTAGGGAGCAAACAGGTAGGAGAATGAAAAAAATGAGTCTCATAACCCAACCACAGCAGAGAGTCCAATGGCATAGGCACTAAAGGCACCATCAATGCTGGTACCACGCAAAGCGAGAGTTGCATTGGGCTGCCCGTTTACACAGGCCAGATATTTCTGTCGCCTGAAAAGAGCTCCCTGTCGGAGGAAACCTCCCGTGGAACAGCTGGCTGGGAGCAGGCAGTTCACAGAGAGCATCGAAGCTGCTGCCAGGAGCCTGCCCCTCATATCGAGGGAGAGGGTGCAGATTCCATGGCTCCCCCCCCCCCTTACCTTTTTATCCAGTGTGCATCTCGGTCCACTGGGTTCTCCCTTCCTGCCGAAGCAAGGTCCCTCTGTGGAGATCTGCGTCTCCCACAGCTCCTTCCAGCTCCACCCTCCCTTCCTCGATTCCCCTCTTCCAAAGCTCCCTGGGATTCTGCCTTTGGCTCCTCCTATCTTCCCTCCCATTCCATGCACTCTGCCAACCCTACCTTTGTGACTGCGCCCTTCACCTCCTTCATTCACTCCAAGCTTCCTTTTGCGACACCACATATTCTTCCCAAAGCTCCAGCCTGATGTTCAACAAGACCCATCCCCCCCGTCCTGCAAGAGATTTTGAAGGCTCACCTGTTCCCGGTTGTCTTCTGTATCAAGTGAGCCCTCCCCATTTGCTGCCTTCTCTCTGTCTTTTGCATGGTCCTGTCCAACAGCCTCCCTCTCGTGCCTTGGCACTGTTGATCTTTGGGATGGGGACCTCCTTCTTGTTTGCTGTTGTCCCGACTGGTTGTTGCAGAAATAAATCAGCCTCATTTACCCAAACTCCAAGGTCCAAATGAATACAGTGGGGCAACCCACGGCAATCAATAGGCTTGTCACCGCTGTGTATTTCCCCTTCCCTACTGCTCTCATTACACTGTGTTGCAGGCACCAGCTTGCAAAATATCTCCTGTGTGTGAGAGTTTTCCCGCAGGCATATTGTATCTAGTGCTTTTAACCCTGTCGAGTGCCTTCACCGTGTTTCCCCATCTGTTACAACCCTAGCGATAAGACTCCACTGGCAAAATGGGGATGTGGATTTCAAACGTCTCAAAGTCTGGGGGAGGTCAGATCTGGGGTTAAACCCCCCAGCTTTCAGGGAGGTACAGGAAGCGGATGATCCACATGGCCCAAAGGGGGCACTTCGCCTTCAACAAAATGAGGGTCACCTTGGATGTGGTCCCCAGGTTGCATCATCTTCACTGCCATGGGTGTATTAGCCGAAGCAGGGTACCAATGCTTGTGCCTGCAGTGAAAGCCTTCGAAAGACAACCGCTGACACTGAACAACGTGACACTTGTCTTTGCTCACTGCACGGTGACATTTCCTTAGACAGAGCAGCTGACTCATAAGATATAAGTGCTCCAGTGAAGGTTCTGATTATTGCCATGGAAAGCTGGTCCTAATCAGTCATCCCCAAACCACAAATGCACCAAGGCTGCTGTTGAGTGGTACTAAACAGTGCACTCACCTCTGCCCAACAAGCCCAGTGAACAAACCTGGATGGCAGTAGCTGTTGCCCTTTTCATTAAAGAAAACCATGGCCGTCACGCACATCCGCCCCCCAGTGACAGAAGGCAGGAATTAGCCAAAGCTGTGGCTAACCCGTCTAGCTGTGAAATGCACAGAGATTGGGGATTTCACACAGAGAGCTCAAGGCTGGGAGTAATATACTAAGAAAATGGTCATGCAAATAAACAGAGATAAGAGGAAGGGGTTATAGAATGGACCAGCTAATTTGGGGAGTTTTTCTGGCTTCCATTATGAATAAATTGCAACACAGAGACACTATGGCTACATCGAGATGGTCCCCTCTTGCGCAAGAAAATATGCAAATGAGGCAAAGTGCTGAATATTGCCATGCCTCCTTTGCATACTTAATGAGCCACCATTTTTAGGCAAAAACCCCCTCTTGCACAAGAGCCATTCTGCTGCTTTTTTTCCCCAGGAAGAACGGCTCTTGCGCAAGAGGGGGTTTTTGCATAAAAAGGAGCCGTGTAGATGGCTCCTTTTTGTGCAAAAGCCACTTGTGCAAAAATGGTGGCTCATTAAGTATGCAAAGGAGGCATGGCAATATTCAGCACTTTGCCTCATTTGCATATTTTCTTGCGCAAGAGGGGACCATCTAGATGTAGCCCAAGGGTATGTATATGCATTAGCTTTGCATTAGGGGAGCTAATCCATTTTGGCAAGCAGTGTTCCCTCTAATTTTTTCCATCCGTGTGTGGAATAATTTTATGTACATCAAAGTATGTGCAGAAGTGCACCACCAGTAGAAACACATGGTACCGGCTGTGGGTGCTCTGCCAATTAGCTGGACAGCACCTGAATCTCTCCTGGGTAACTTCCCAAGTGCTCAGCTTACAGGGAACACTGCTGGAAAGACTCCCTTTCATTTTAGTAGGCTTGGTAGTGGATCTTAGGAGACCCTTGTTTGTATAGAATACACGGCACTGGTAAGGCACTTCTTGTGGAGATGTAGCACATATTAGCAAAGCTATGCCAACCGAAGCAGAGTTTATTTCACACACATACACTGTAAAGTACCACGGTAAAAGCACAGATTTACCAGTATAACTGTGTCTGTTCTAGGGGCTTTTGCCAATACATGCACATCTCATTGCTTCTTTCCCCTAACTGGCACAGTTGTCCAGCAAAGGTATCCTGGCCTGGATCAGATCCTAGCTGGGGACTACTCACGTCTGCTTCAAAACAAGAGGATGCGCAATCAGCCGACCTCAAGGACTCTCACTGTTCCCCTTCCCTACCTGCAGCCTCCATCCCAGCCCCTCCCAAAGAAATGAGAGAGGGATCAGCCAGGAAATCAGAGGGAGAACCACCATTTCCTCTCCATGGTGTAACTCACAAGACTAGGATGACAGCTTCCCCCAAGCAAAGGGGTGGCCCTTTGCTTGGGGGAAGCTGTCATCCTAGTCTTGTGAGTTACAAGTCTTGGAGTGGGAAGGGAGACATTTCATTTTGCATTGTCTGTAGCCACCACGTTGCCATCCAATTGGGATATACCAGAAATGAGCGAACATGAGTGGTTCTGGGGAGGCATGAGATAGATCTAGTGTGCTATAATCTCAGACTTGTTTATACCAGCCAATGCAAATTAAAAAAGGATTAGTTCCAGTTAGTGTACATACTCCTCGTATGATTCTCTCGGAGCCTGGAATTTCTCTAGTTCAGCTTACTCTGACCGTTACTAGGCAATGTGTTGTTAATTGAAACACAGGAATAACTTTGACTTCATAGCCTCTTACCCACCTGGGGCCTTATTACATTGGCCACTGCAGGCTGTTACAGCAAAACCCATCTCTTGTGGGAAAGAAAATAAATCCTCTCTCGGTTGTCATTAGCACATAGTATCGGCTCCTCTCTACAAACACGGGTAGGTAAAGCTCGAGATGAAATTGCATAGGCATCACATCCAGACAAATAATTGCACCTACCGTCTCTTCTCTCCCAGATAAGGATCCAGGCACAGCAATAAAACAGTGGCACAGTGTATAGGAAGGACGCTGTAAACAGGTTATTATAAATGGCCTGTGGAAAACCACAGATGGGGAGCAATAAAAATGACATTGAATCTCCCTAAATGCTTACTTGCTGATTAGCTACAGTGTATAAACCATGGTACTTGTGAGAAAAACTTACTTGGAGAAGCTGATCTCCGAGCCAAAGCCTGAACCCCTTGATACAAAATGCCAATGGATTTCAAAGGAACCAGAAAGGTAGCAGAGGGGCAAATCCTTCCAGCCTCTTCCATGGCTGCAGGAGCCTTAAACCTAGTGCTTTTGTTGTGCAAGGAGAAAACTTGGGATCTCCTCCTATGATGGTGGGGAGGAGGGAAGAACGTGATTCCACCTGCTTCCATGCAGGTCAGTTGGTGTGGACTGTGGCTCATGATGTCATTTTGTGCATCCACCTGCCATTGCTCCTTGCCCAGCTGGGGTAAAGGGGCTGCTAGAGCTTGGTGGCTCCTAAACATTAATTCTAAGTCAACCCTTAGGCCCAGCATGGAGGCGCTTTGAGAAATCATAATCAAGTCTCAAAAGGAATGCACCCCCCAAAAGGAGGACCCCAGAATCCTGGGGCCCCTCATAACAGCAACAGATTTTCCTTTGAACCTTCCTTCCCTCCCTCTTTCCCCTCCCCAGTGCCAAGCACTGCCCATCAGAACCCAGGGATCAGGAGCCATTAGGTTTAATTTATTATATTCCAAGATATTTCTCAAATTCTACATTTGAGATTAAAAAATTTGCTCACACTTACCAGAGAATATGCAGTTCTTGCTTTTTCTACTTAAGTCTTACTTCCTGCTGGGATGAGGTGCTTTACTTTTTTTGATTATGGGGATGCAAAAACCCTTTCTTGCATCTCAAATTAAAAATGAGGAAGCTAGCGGTTTTCTGTTTGGCTAATGGCTCTGATACTGAGCCAACAAATTCCTTAGTAGAGATTTTGAGGTAGCTGAATATAATTTCATATCTACTTAAATATAACTCATAAGCCAGTCTGAGCAATCATATTTACTACACAAGATTAAAGTGTTAATGTCTCTCTTTTCATAAGGTGTTTTGCAGCATTAACTTTTTAGACAAACCATTGCTATTTGAGGATGGGGACAGGGTCCGATATTCTTTTTCTCTAACGTTTTAGGTCAGATGCTCAGCTGCTGTGGATCTTCTAGTGGAGCACCTTTACCATTGGTTTTGAATTATTATTAGAATTCATAATGAAATCAAAGTGGAGGGAGGCGCAAAGAATCTAAAACAAAGAAGGAAAAACTGATCAAATTTCATCCTGGAAAAGATCTCCGTATATTTTAGTGTGTGTCTTCAAGTCCATTTGTTCAAGAATTCCTAAACAGTAAGAGCTAGGGCCAAATTTGGTATGCAACTTCCTTTTATTTTAACTTAAAGCAAGGTCAGAGTTTCATTGTGCCAGGAAAAGGGAAAGTGCTGGGAATGGGAGTGTTTTCCACCACATGGAAGGAAGGAGAGATGCAATACTCACAGTGACCACTGGGGGCAGTGAGCACAGGGAACAGCTACACTGCAGAGTTGACTACTGGGGGCAGCCTCGCTAGTAAGACACTGGTCAGATGAGGACAGGGCCCTGCATGTTGCCAGCCAACATAAGACCGGCCATACTGGGTCAGACCAAAGGTCCATCTAGCCCAGTACCCTGTCTTCCGACAGCAGCCAATGCCAGGTGCCCCAGAGGGAGTGAACAGAACCGGGAATCTTCAAGCAATCCCTCTCCCATCACCCATTCCCAGCCCCTGACACCATTCTTCCCCAGCCTGGCTAATAGCCATTGATGGACCTAACCTCCATGAATTTATCTAGTTTTTTCTTGAACCCAAAGTCCTGGTCTTTACACCAGCCTCTGGCAAGGAGTTCCACAAGTTGACCGTGCACTGCATGAAGTGGGTATGTGGCCCTCCTGCCCCAAATAGTGCTAAGGGGCAGGCCCCCATCCCCTGACTCTCATAAGAACGGCCATACTGGGTGAGAGCAAAGGTCCATCTAGCCCAGTATCCTGTCTGCTGACAGTGGCCAATACCAGATGCCCCAGAGGGAGGGACAACAGGTAATCCTCACATGATCTCTCCCGTCACCCACTTCCAGAGAAACAGAGGCTAGGGACACCATTCCTATCCATCCTGGCCAGGACTCCTCAGATTCCACCCAGGAGACTCCCCCAGAGGAGAGGCTAGGAACCAGGTCCAGCTCCACCCCCCTCCCAAAGGGAGACACCAAGGAGAAAGGGTCTGGGAACCATGGCCCGGGAACAATGACCCAACCCCAGACAGCCTGCAGGCCACAGGGAGGGGAGAGGTGGTGCTGTAGGCTGGGGCTGGCCTCCATAGCCTCTTCCACCCCCACACACCCAATAGTCTACAAGCATGCGTGGGGGGGGGAGGGCTTTTCTTCCATGTTATCACTTGAAAAGGAAAAAGGAAGTGAAAAATGAAATAAACTTCCCTCAAAACTGAAAAAGGTACTTTTTTTGGGGGGGGGGGTGTAAAAAACCCCACAAACGCCTGCTGTAAAAATTTTCAAACAAAATAAAAAGTTAGGTTTTAAAAAAATGCTCATAACTTACCATTTTACAAGGAGCGGCATCTCTAGCCTCGATGAAAGATGAAAGCTTATGCCTCCTGATCTTATGTTAATAAATCTGATTAACACACACCGGATGATCACTTTGCAAAAAGAGCCACTGTTTAATGTTCTGGGTAATCTTCCTTCCCGGCTGTCATGCCCCTCACACTGTGCCCCATGGAACCTAGACACTAAATGATCCAGGGCAGAACAGTCGTTATCTCAGCAAGTGCCACACTGCAAACTACACCCGTTTGCTCTCAGTGTTGAATCCCTTTTCCTTCTCCTTTCCTTTCTTGTCTATTTAGATTAGAAGTGTGACAGCCGCCATCATGGCTGAGCATGCTACAGCTTTTGAAACTAACAGCACTTCAACCACTACCTGAGCTCAGTTTACAGTCCACCACACACAGCTTTACGATTCACCATCTGCCACTTGGGCAAACTTCACTCAAAACACTGTTAACAGCTGGTGTAGGCTTCACCTGTATTCAACAAGTAGCCATTAGGGAAAAGGTGGAATTTTAAATGATTCCGATCTGAGAGCTGAAAGACCTTTCCTTTAATGTATGCCCCTGCTTGCAGAAAATTGCACCCCGTCATACATTTGCTAGTGCACAGACTAATTTTAAAATGAAACGCTGTGCGAAATCTAGTAGGTGAACAATAATGGCACTAGGTGTCCTTTGCCCACAGCGAATCGGGAGGTTTACGCATCCTTTCATTCCAAAGGAAATCTTGACGTTGCAAACAAAGACACCCTGCCTGGAGAGAAAACACTGGAGAGGTTTGCACAATCAGATAATTCTAGCCTGTTAAAAAATGGCTTTTCGGGAACAGCACACCAACGGCGAGAAAAGTGACAGACTGTTGGCATTCCTAA